CTGAAGTCTCCTAGCCAGAATAAGAATAAAGACACATATAAACAAAACAATGCACCAAAGGGGAAGGGGAGCAAGGCATCATGTGAATGTTTTAAATAAAACAATTGGCATTTGTCTGAAGCTCCTCTGAGCTTAAGGAACAGTCCAGGGGCCCTCCTGACCCTCCTTCTGAGCAGTCCTGGTAGCAGCAACAACTGAAACATGCATGCCAGAAAACCTGCAACAGATGCCATCTCCAGTCTTGCATTTAGGATGCAACAGCCTGACTCTACTGGCAAAGAAGAAGCCAGAAGATAAAACTGCAACCTACACACCACAACAGAGTTGGCTGACTTCACACTATAAGCACAAAAGCAGAGTCTTTTGAGATTACTTTATTTTCATAAGCTGAATTTTTGCATCTGCTAACATTTCAGCTCAGATGTGTATCTTTGAAACTGATCAGTTTAGAACCAGACTGTCTAAAAATGAAAGCAGGCAAGTGGGAAGAAAGGAAGTTTATGCTAAAGAAATAGCAAGCTTTAGAAATGCAACTGTATGTCTTTAACCTCTAAGTATGTGTTCCCATATTAGTAACTCCTGCCTTTAGCTTATTTATTTTATTTCCTATTACTGTGTGAAACAAACAAATAGGGAGAAAGTACTCAAAAAGAGCTCTTGTAGATCTAGGACCATCAGTATTTTTAAGGGATTTGCAGTTTGGAAATTTAAATGTATACGGAATATGGAAATGCTCTCTTCTTGCTGAGGTTTGCTACTGTCAGCCTTATGTGTTCGGTATAATTATTCTAAGCATTTGTATTTTGTCCTGGTTGGTTGCTACGGCACCCACACATAATGCTAAGTCATGGTTTGTTCAACTGTGTAAACTAAATAAACAATGGCTGGATTCACACAGTAAACTAAGCCAAAATGAGAACAAACGTTTTATGATTTAGTGTGGTGTGACTCCAGCCAGGGATTACGGGAGATTGGGGAAAAAGCAAGTTCAATATCAGACCTTGGGAGAGAGAGAGGATTCTCACAGCCTTTTTCAGGTTTGAACTGCAAACTGCTGGCTCTGAATTCCTTGTTGTCCCCACAAGGGAACTTAGGCATCCAGTCACTTTCTCAGCCTGTGTGCATGATTAGGGTTAGCAGTGTTTGGAGGATGACAACTATTCCCTGATGTGAACACATCCTATAGAGGGTGACTTCTAGTCCTTCTTTCCTTTCTAATCTTCTTCTCTTGGTTCTTCATTTTTGCAGGGTAGGTATGGAAGAGCTGGGTTAGAGCTTCAACATTTCTTCCTTTCCCTCAGAGAAGGCCAAATCTACCTATTCTGTTTTCCGTACAAGAACTCTATGCAGTTCCTGTGGGAAGCAGTTGCTGTAAGAATGCACTTGGGTCTGGGTTTGGTGCTCATCCTAGATCATTCCTTTTTTTGGTCGGGGTTAGGACTCTATATTTGTTATATAGGTGTTCCTCTCTTCACTCTCTGGAATGATTTCCTTTTTATTTGGGTGGCTTTGCCCACCACACTCAACTGTGGTTAACTATGTTTATTCAACCTAATTTTCTAGATTTGATAAAATAGTGAACCTTCAACTAATCAGACAAGCTGGGTCCACATAACATGCTAGGGTAAAATGTGGTTGGTTATTTAGTTTATTAATAGACATATAAACTTCCCCAATGTCCATGACTTGGTCACAGTATGCTATTCCTAGCAAGCAGCTCTCTTATTTGGATAATATTGCCAGGGACACACATTAATGGGTGTTTTTGAATTTTTTGTTTTTAACTCTTTTGCTGGACATAAATGCTCAGCCAACAAGGCAGGGCCACAGGATTGCTAGTCTGTTGGGCCACCTTAACGCTAATGCAATCCTTACATCTAATTATTTAGTCAAAATGAGACGTGACCCTTTATTTACTGATAGTATTCCTCATGTAATTTGAGTTCTAATGACTTGAGTCTGAGAGCCTGGACTTGTTCCATCATGATTTGTTCTTTTCCCCATTCCATCTTCTTTTCTTGAGGGTCTGAGTTAAATTCTAAGATGCTCAGAATGTTATGATGTTATGGTATTGTTATCAAGGGAGCAGTGGATAGTCAAAATTGCCCACTAAGGTAAAATAAAAAATAAATAAGTAAAATAGAATAGAATAGAATGAGACAGAGCCTGTCAGCTCATCAACACCATCTTCCCTCTCTAACATACAAGTCTAATGGAGGCTGTAGGCAGGAGTGCCCCAAATTTTAATGCTATCTCCTTATGATCCATGGGAAATGATACCAGAAGCCATAGTACAGGGGTTTTCAAACTGTCTTCCATGGAATCCTAGTGTTCCATGAGAACTTCAGGGGTTCCACGAGAAACTAAAAAGATGTATTTTGCAACAGGTTGTTCCACAGCTTGAAAATGCTTGGAAAACCCTGCAGATTTGTCCACAGAGTGGGAAGTCTACCAGTACTGAACCATCCAGAATACAGGCAGACATTTCAGTTACCAGCGCATGGTGAAAATGAGAAGATGGTAGGAGGTGGACAGCTAAGAATTAATTGTTTTAAGCTCCCTCAGTCCCTGAGCTACTGAGTTTTAACTATGCCAGCCCAAGAGCTGGCTTAAGTCTTCCCAATGGAGAGGAGGAAAAAACCCTGCTTCTCCTCCAGTGTCCATTCTAGCCAGCATTAGGACTTAGGAAGTACTGATTCCTCAACAGGATTCTTCAGTGTGGAAGAAAATTGTTACTATTTCAACTCATACTAAGGTACTCTGTCTCCCTCTAATGGACTGCTCATCATTTTAATCTATTTATTAAAAGACTTTAATGTAGAGCAGGGGTCAGCAAACAACGGCCCTTGGACCAAGTCTGGCCTGACACATTTTTGCACGGTCCATGAGCTAAGAATGAATGGGTGGATGGGCAGCAAATCACCAGGCCTGAGCCTCAGCTCTGCTCCCAGAGTGAGGGGTGGGTCCAGGTATCCTGGGAAGTGGCCTATCAGTGGCCTCCTTGCTGGCAGGCTGCTGCCATCTAACGGCTGCCATGCTCCTTGGCATACAGATCTTCCAGCTGTACCCACAGAGGCAGAGGAAGGGCAGGATCTGGCCCTTTACAAAAAAAATCTTGTCAGGGAGATATTTGTAACATACTGGCATTATACATAGATGTAATACCTAGCAGTACCTGGCTGATCTTAGAAAACTAAGGGTGAGACCAGGTTAGTACTTGGATAGGGGATGACTAGGGAACCCCAGGGCTATAATTAAATAGGGAAGTTAATTGGGAAGGCATAATGTTCCATTGTGTTGAAAATAACACTGCACGGACATGTCCATGAAAACAGAAGGATGCCTTTGTTTTTCTAGATGGTAAATTTATTCTGTCAGTTTATCAGGTTACTTATGTTTTATGAGAGTATAGATAGAAGGTAAGGATGTAGTGGGGATTTAGAACAGATCTTCTGAAATGTCTGAGCTTAGTCTTACTTACATAAGTTAGATTTATTTCATAATGGAAGGTAAGGTAACCCTATTATTTTTCCCTAAAAGAAATACATATAACCACTAAAGTCCTTTCAAAAGAAGGTAAAAATAAAAGCAGCGAAGGATAAAAGACTGGAAAGTTAAAAGAGAAAGAAGACAAATACATATACAATGGGGTAAAGAAATCTAATCATAATGAGGAAAAAATAAACAAGAAAATGTACTACCTCTTATGAAGGCTTCAGAAAGAATATACAGGTAGTCCTCAACTTATGACCACAATAGGGACTGGAAAATTCATCACTAAGCAGTACAGCTGTTAAGTGAGGCATCACATGACTGCACCCAATTTTGTGACATTTTTTGCAGCAGTCGTTAATGGTCATTAAGTGAACCATGCAGTTCCCCATTGATTTTGCTCGTCGGAAGCTGGCTGGGAAGGTCGCAAATGGCAATCACATGACCCCAAGATGCTGCAACCATCATAAATACATGCTGGTTGCCAAACACCCAAACTTTGATCATGTGACTGCAGGGACGCTGCAATGGTCATAAGTGTGAGGACTGGTTGTCACTTTTTTCAGCACTGTCATAACGTCATACAGTTGCTAAGCGAATGGTCATAAGTCGAGGACTACCTGTAAGTTGCAAAAAAAGAACCCTGAACAGTACAGAAATGAAATAAAATTCAGCAAGTGCATGGAAAAAAAAGAGGTATTTGGTAATTTTAGAAGTTAGACTCTACGTAGAAAAATGGCAAAATGTGTAATGCAATGCGATATGTTTATTCTAAAATAAGTCCTAAATTCAGTGAAATTTATTCTTACATAAGATTGCCTAGGAACACAATTTGCAAGTAATATATCTGAAGGTGAATCAATAAAGACAAATTAGTATCGAGGCAAAAACTAGAGTCTGAGCAGGTCAACAATATGGTATCTGCTGCTTCTGCCAAACTGAAAGATTTTAGAACTAATTCAGGTTCAGCAAAAAGTAACAACAGTGGCATGCAAAATAATCTGAGTTCAAAACTTTTGTGCAGCTCTAGTTCCCAGCATAGAAACTCTGGAGGGCAAAGCCAATAATCTTGTGCAAGTATTAAAATTATTGTATCCATAACAATATTATTTAAATGTATACAATAAATATCAAATGTATTGCCCCTGAAAGCTTATGCGCTAATGAATTTGTAGTCTTCAAAGAACCAGGAAATCTGATTGAAAATACATTATTGCTACTGTTCCATGAAAACTAAGAGTTTTAGCTGGCCTAGTCCTAAGTGAAAGGTTGTCTAGAAATTCAAAGTAGGCTACTGGAATATGTAATGGTGATGAAAACATGATGTAAGAAAACTACCCTGAGCAATGCATGTTTTATGACATGTTTATGTAAACTCATGTATTTAACATAATTTAAATATATAAAATTGTTTATATAATTTATATTACTCAAATATTATGGTTATATAAAGAATAGCTTGAAGAACTGGAGGAGATTAGAAATAAAAGTTGATGGTATGAAACAAAACAGCATTTCACTCAGAAATCTGATCACTTTTTTCTGCTGCCCACCTGATCACCCACCTGTTTTTCAGCTTTTTTAATGTCAAGATCATCACCTTCTTTCAACGGAAGTTTCAACTTGAATCCACTTGGAAAGACCTTGATTCATTTATACATCTTTAAATGTTTTAAACCAAGTCTGGTAATTGTACTCTCAGAGAGGGGGAAAAAACCAGAACAGGATTTCAATCAACTTTTCTCCTCCTTGAAATCTCATTTTAGAAAAGGATAGTACAAGCTTTTATTTATCCAATATTTCAGCTCACTGAAACTAAATGAATAATCTTTTCGCATATCTTAGGTATTGGAACTGCTCTGTATACAAGTTGCATTTTAGTATTGTTTTCTATACTGCACAAACAGAATTCATGGAAGATCTGATGTAAGATCCAACAGTTTGTTTAGAAATTTACTCACTTTTATTCTGTATTGTAATATGTAACATATACAACATTAAAAACCAAAGCTTTTGAACTGACATTAAAAATAGAAGGGCTTTTAATATTTGTATAAATGTTTTGATAATTCTGTATGTTAGACTTTTGTGGGTAAAAAAATGCTGAGACAGAATGATGCAATCTATTGCTTTCCCATTTGCCCCTCACCAATATTACTTTGCACTCCAGCCAGCTTCTCTTGCTTACATTAGGAGGAAGACATGTAGATACAGAAGTAAACTAGATGCTCATAAGAACAGGCCTAATTTCAGAATACTGGTGCTACTTTCCCCAGTAGCCAAAGCTCCTTTTAGCAGAAAAAGTTATTTTCACGTTATATACACCATCAAAATTATTTACCTAAAATTTAAAAATTACAGTCCAAAGTAGCAGAGGTTGTTATATATAAAAGAGGAGATACGGTACACATGGGCACTCAGCTCTTTCTAATCTTAACTGCAATGACATCTTTGCAAATACACTTTGATGGTCTCCATTTTCTTACCCCAGTGGAATTTACAAAAATCCTTATCAGAAAATGAAAAGTGCATTAAATTCATTGGTGAATTGATGAGGCAAGGCTGAATGCTTAGAATAGCTTCACTGTACATATGTCTGACAAGCAGGTGGAGTTAAAGAACTTTGAATTTAAAAACAACTTGAAGTAGGAAAAAAAACAAGACTGATCACTGAAAAAAGTCAAGCATATTTTCCTCCCACGTAGATTGCTCCAAACTCAAATTTCTCTAAACCAATCAGCCAAGCCAAGATTTCTGGACAAGTTTCACTGATATTGCTGGAAAGATTTTCCATCCACACCAAGCACCCAAAGGAAACACTCTCCTCCCTATGAGTTACACTAGATTAGGAAAATTATATCATCGGACATCATGATCTGGTTATCTTCTTGCATCTGTTCCAATGCTGCTTTGACTTCAGCTGATGAAAAAGGAGTTGGGTTGTCCCGGTTGATGGACTCCAGCAGGCTCTTCAGATTCACAGACTGTGCATGAGCAACTCTGAATACCTCTAGGAGGGCTGCCTTGAATGCTTTAAGCCTAAGCAAATACAAGAACAAAGTAAGGATGTTTTGAAGGAAAACTCTGCTGCTACAGTAAGTGAATGAGAGAAAAAAACGAGAGAGAGAGAGAGAGAGAATGAATAAATGAATGAGATAGGGAGGAAAGGGGAGGACTAGTCAGTACAATCGTTTCAATTCCAAGTAAGTGCTTTGGAGTGCACAGAGATGCAATTATATCACCTGTCTGCAACTCTTTAAAGCAACCACGTCTTTTTCTGGGATCACACAGCAGTGTGAAAGGTAGCTGTACAGTCCCGGGACAAAACATGCTTTAGAGAGTTGCAGACAGGTCCTATATCTTTGCTCCCATGTACTCCAGAATCCCCCCCCCCAAAGTTCTGCACAGTCCTTAATAGTGTGTCTTTGATGACTTCTGTATAGTCATGTGCATACCAAAAACCATTACATTTTAAACAAAATACACTTTTTTCATCTATAAACAGGAAGCCACAGAGAAGAGTCCAGAATTTTCTACTCTGACTGACAGCTTCTCTTGAGGATTTCACACAACATCTCATGATCCTTTTAGTGGCAGTTGCCACAAATTGAGCCTGCTGGAACCAAAGAAGCATAAAAGTTGGAAAAGGCCATTAAGACCATCAACCTCTTGCTCCATTCAGGAATACGAACTAAGCCATCCCAGATAGTGAAGGAGCTCACCACCCTTCTGACAAGTTTTTTCTAGCATTCAGTTGGAATCTGCCTTCTTGTAACTTAAATGCATTATTATAGATCTTGCACACCAGAACAATAGACAAGTCTTGACTTTCTCTTTGACAACCTTTTGGATACGTGAAGAGCACCATCATATCCTCCATTAGTCTCCTTAAAACTAAACATTCCCAGATCCTTCTGTTTCTCCTCACAGTTCTTACTTTCTAGTCCCTGATCCAATGTTGTTAAATGTTTAATGTTTCTTAAAGTTTGGTACTCAGAACTAGACACAATACTCAAAGTGAATTCTGACCAACACAGAATAAAGTGACAAAATTACTTCTCAGGATTTGTAGGACAGCTGTGTTAGTTTAGGGTAGCCACTCCATGCATCTGATGAAGAGAGCTGTAGTTCACAAAAGCTCATGTCTTTTAATAAAATGTCTTAGTCTGAAAAGGTGTTTCCCTGCCTTTGGTAACTGCACTTCTGTCAGTGCAGTCTAGAACTATATTTACCTTTTCTTCAGCCACACTGTATTGCTGATCTGCTATCTAGTATGTATCATTCATTCTCTAGCTGGATTTTAAGTTTGGGGCAGAAAGAAAGGAGGATTACTTCCTAGCCATGGTGGAAAGCTCACCTTAGGCACGAAAGTTAGCTCCAGACATATCTTTATGGCATCCAGCTGGATGATACAGAACTCCCTCCTGGCAGTGAGTGCTCCTATTTCTGAAACTCACCAGACTGAGATTATTGCTATTCCATTCCACTTTGCTACTTCCCATTTTAGGTGTTCTAACAGCTCAAAGGAGGCTCTAGTTAGGGTTTGAAACACCAGCTGGAAGTCCCATGATGAATGCTGGTGAATCATGGATAGTTTTATTAGGGAGGCCAATAATGGCTCATAGCTCTCTAGTGTTAGGACTGACATTAGGGATTCTCTGCTTAGGTATCTCTTAAGGACTGATGAGGGCTGACATCTGGCTGCAGAACAGTCTCCTTGTGCTTGCAGGAAGGTCAAGACTTGAGGGTGTAGAGTGACATAGGTAAGAATCCCTTTTTTTGGTCCATCTATGTAAGGCTTACCACATTAGTTCATACATATGAATGGAATGGCCCTGCTTGGCTAATTAGTCTGATATAGCCAGGAGGCTCTGTGGTTGGGCTGTTGATAAATTGACTATGTTCAAGTACCAAGGTCTCCTGGGTTAATTTGTGACCATCAGTGTCAGCTCCCCATTGCAGTCTGGAACTCATTACAGGAGCCGAGGGGGAGTAAGTGGAAATGTAGGAAAGGCATATAGTGGATCTTGTGAGCTAGCTGGCACTTAGGCTATTTAAGCACTCCACTCTGAGACTGGAAGGTGTAACTAAGGTTTTATTAATTTATTTACTGGATTTATAGGGCTGCTCCACTCAAACAATGTGACTCTGGGCATCATCACTACCCATCACTGGATTCCCAAAGATCAAAGTCCATTCACCCAGATTCAAGTTTCTACAGCTGAGCCAATCTGTCACCATACTGTGTATTCCCTGAACATGTTCTGACATAGAGACATGTGTTCTTTGGCCCAATGTAGCTTGGCTATTTCCTTCAACAGCTGTCTTGATCTGCTGGGTCCCTCTCTCCTGCTGTAGACTTTGGTGGTAACATTATGAAATGATGTGCTTGCCTTTTAGGAGAGTTTGGAATTTGCTCAAAGCTAATAATGTCATACATAGCTCTAGGAAATTTATGCTGCATATATTTAAGAATACCACTGGATCCATCAAAGTCTCAGAATAGCACTTCCCACTTAACTCCTCTTTCTTAGAACTGGTGATCAGTGAGTGGGAGGGAGGGAGGCCTGTTCAGAATCCCTAAATCTGTGGAGTGCAAGCTAGGGTAGGTTCTTTGGGGAGGGAGGTGGGAAGATAATAATTACATGGGGAGATCAGGCATCCAGTGCTGCCAGTTTCCATTCCCCATGGTGCCCAGACTGTCCAATTCCCTGGCACATAACAATGAGCTTGCTACAGTGGCAAGTAGCTGGCAGCTTGAGCACCAAGGTACTAGCCGCATTTCCCTAAGTGGAAAACTGTAGAGAGATAATGGCATGCAATTGGAACTGACCACTTTGATCAGCCCAGCCACTGGAGAAATCTTCTCAGGTGACCATAGACTAGGCCTTGTTTGCCATGGAACCTCCTAAGGTCTGATAAACAAAATAAAATAAAATAAAAGGAAAAAGCCAAAAAACAAAATGGAAGATCCACCTAGTCTAGCCAGAATCCTGGCCATGCAAATGGCTGGTTGAGCTAGCAGACATGCATGTTCTCCAAAGTAAAGCAGGGCTGCAACTGGAGAAGGCTTCTTCCCCCCCTCACAAGGACTCATAAGAACATGAAGTCCTGTCTTGAGAGCAAGTAGGAAGGAGATATCTACATTTGGATGCCCTGGCTGTAGTGTAGAAAAACAGGACTGTTCAATGTTGAATACTTCTGGAATGGTCAGAGCAAGTCTTTTGAACTTGATTATTTTGAACCTGAAATTGTGTTTCAGAGTCAAAAATAAGTTGTTTGGATTAAGTATGTTTTGCACATCACTATTTCATAACCCAAACTCTCATTTCATTAAACTCTATCACGTAAGAGTCTTTGCACGCTTCCTACCTGGACTCAGACAATTTTGATGTAATCTCATCAGTGCTTGAAGCTTCAGGAATCTTGGGTGTGTGTGCCTGAACTAGAAAATATAAAAGCAGGAAAATGAAATTAATAAATAACTGGCATTTCCTGATTTATAGCATCTCTAAAAGAAACAGACAATGTGGTCTACTGGGGAAGTTATTAAAACAAGATTATTAATTTATTGCTAAAGTGGAATTTGAGCCAAACGTATTTGACTTTCACTTACTGAACAGATTCAGTAGCAAAGAACAAGCTGGACAGACACCATCAAACAAGATACAGGTATCTTGTTTAGCAACTGTCTCATTTAGCGACCATTCAGTTACGACAGTGATGAAAAAGTAACTTTGTGACCAACCCTTGCATTTATGGCCTTTTCAGGTCTTAAAGCAAAGGAAAGCTGAAGTAAGATCATAAACACAGTTGCGGTTTCACTTAGCAACTGCTTCGCTTAACGACCAAGTTGCCGCTCCCAATTGTGGTTGCTAAACAAGGACTACCTGCACTGCTTAAAACCTAGAAACATTAAAATATCAGAAAGAATGGAGAGCGCTAATTATCAAGTCTCTAAAAGTCATATGTGATTGAACAGATGAAGACAGTCAGATATAAATAAATCCTTTCCAAACTCCAGAAGGATTGCACCATGCTTTAAAACTCATAGCAGAACATTCTTAATTTGCCTGAATTCATTCATTTATCAGTCTGAGAGAAATGACTTACTTTCTGGCATTTCTGCTTCCGTGTCACTGAAGTCATAAGGATCATATGTTTCTCCTTCTGTGGGTGACTGGTCGCTGGAATGTGTCTTCCTTCTGCAGAAGAACATTAAGTTAATAGCAAAAGTTTTAATTAATGGTCTTCAAAATGTATTCATTTAGAAGATTTACACAGCCACTCAACTTGCACAACTGCAACTCAGGGCAACATACACCAAATAAAAAACTCTCCCAAAATATGGTAGTAAGAACCAGACAGTATCAACAAAAGGCATAATCCAGAAGCCAACATATCAACAATACAAAGTCAGGGCTCACCAGTCATACACTCTGTCTTCCAGAAGATGGGCTCATCTATTGTCTTGACCCAACTGGGGGAAAACCCAAATTTTTAAAGCTTTCCTGCTGGCTAAATATTACTCCTTTGGGCTGAAGAAAATGCATCCCATTTCTTCTAGAGAGGCGATTCCGGTGGTCTTTTGGAACAACAATTATGGACAACACCATCCATTATTAAAGAGGCAATGAAGTCTCTTTGTCTGTTTTGGTAGCTGGAAACAGCTGCTAAGCTTAGGATTCTCAAGTGCCATATAATTCCATAGTATTTGGTGTTAGTATGCAAACCCAAACAGGTCAGTATATGCAAGACACAATAGGTCTCAATGGCATCACCAGATTCCAAGGTTAGAAGCATGCAGCTTCTGGAACAAAACTCCCCAAGTTAGTCCCAGCTGGACAGTGTGAGACTAGGCTGAAGCTGCCATAACCTAAAGATGAAGGAGGCAGAGAGGCAGAGAGGAAAAAGCTAAGAAACATATCTATAAGATCCCTTCAGGGAGGTAGATAAGAAGGAAGCAAGTTGTTAAGGAAAAAACAAAGGACCTGAACCAGAAAGAGGAAGTTGGGCTTGAGCACATGGAAGCCCTCACTCCAATCCCATCAACTTGTACTTTTGGGGATAAAAGGGGCCCCAAAGCCCGCCCACTCTGAGTCATCTGAGTCATCTTTGGATCCAGACTTGGCGGCTTCCGTCCCTCTAGCTAGTGCCTGGCAGCCTAGTTGGGAAGTACCTCTAGCTAGTGCCTGGCAGCCTAGTTGGGAAGA